ACTCAGGCGTTACGGCTCCGCATCCCAATCCACGTACAGCAGGGTCCTCACTGTCACAGCTTGGACTGACAGATGTCTGTCTCTGGTAACTGCTACCCCAAAAGACGAAGGCTCTGGGCAGCACTGAGTGTGGGGACGTGCACTGACAAAGCGTGTGGTAGGAGCGGCTCTGTGCTGATCAGGCACAGCAACGGACAATTCCTGAGCACCTGTAGTGCTGCGCTGCTCTGAGCCAGGCTGAGTCCAGAAAACAGAAGTTTCAGAAGAGCATTAAATTGACATGCAAAATTTATGCATCAATGTTCACAGAAGGAAGTGCTCTTCTGCTTAACTGCTCTTCTGCTTAAATGTACATGCTCTGATTGCATGCTGAAACTGCTTTTAACCTTTTTACCGCTCAGCCACGTAGAGGCTGTGGGTGCCATTGGGAATGCAGCCGTGGTCGCTAATTATAGAGACAGAGTTCTTTGGTTTTGCTGCAGTCATGTTCTGTTTCGATTGAGCTTTCAGCAGAAAGGAGCTGCCTTTGTTTGCTCTTGAGGGAGATCATAAAGATCTGCTGGAGTCGTTCAGCTGAGCTCTGCAGGGTGCTCCATCCTCCCGCTGCGCCCGTTGCCCATCCCTGGGCACACAGCAGTGCTGGGCTCTGCCTGCTCCTCCGCTGCTGCTCTGGAGGCTGAGAGTCGCTGCTCCATCCTGCCATCCCTGCGTGTCGTTCCCTTGGTCACCCTGCTCTGACACACGAACATCCCCAGCGCTGTGAAGGAAGCGGCGCGCAGCTGGGCTGTCTGACTGCGTGCGCCTCACTGCGTGACTGTCAGCCTCCGTCCCACACAGCACTGTTTGTTAGAGCCTGTCCCCTCTGATAAGGAATAAATGCAGACATTGCCAAAGAGTGTCTGTGTGCTCTGCGGCTGCACATCTTTGTTTTTCTGTGTGTTCTGTCTCTGATGGGGGAAGTGTGATCTCTTTTTACAAGGAGTAATGCTGTGTGACTCCAATGACTCCATGTTCACAAATGTCTCCCCAGAAGATGGTCTGCTTTTGGAGTTTAGTGGAGCTCCATCTTGTCTTCAGCCTGGAGAAGAGAAGCTGTGGGGTGAATCACTGCAGCCTTCAGGACCTCAAGGGAACCTACAGACAGGAGGGGAGTCAGCTCTTGGAAAGGGGAGATAACAGCAGGACAAGGGGAAATGGTTTGAA